CGGTGGGCTTTCAAATATAGCTGAGGTCACTACTTGTAGCTTCAGTCTGGCAACCCCCACCGCCATACCCGTCTGCAGTGTCTTTACTTTTTACCCATCCTCACACTTTACACCTACTTACTTCAACCTGCGAATAGATGAATTAAGTTTACATATTTATAATTCGATATGGGTGTGTAATTGCTTTTTAATGTTATTAGTACTTGGACGGCTAGTCATGGGAAAATAATTTTTTCTTAGTGCTTGTACACCTGTGAAGACTCTTTCCTCTTCAAACAAATTGAGGTCTATTTACAGGAAAGAGACCTTTATATACGTGGACACTTATGACTAAGAATATTACTGTGGGGTTACGCTGGATACTTCATGACATCTCTAGGACTTGGTACTATATTTGACAGCATCTAAGGCGAAATTTATTTCCTTCAAAATAGCTAAAATCCCTTTACGCCATATACGGGAAACTGAGACTACATGTAAGCTAATTTTACCCTCAACGATCAGTAAACTATAATTTTATCCGACGCATTCAATTCTACTTAACCTGATTCAATAATATTATTTACTTAAACGTTATTATTATTATTATTAGTAGTAGTAGTAGTAGTAGTAGTAGTAGTAGTAGTAGTAACATTTCCTTTCATTTCTGGTGTGTAGTCATTTCTTTCCGGGTCCCGACCAGAGACCTAAGTTCAGAAATGGCATCATGACATTTTCCACTGAGCAATTTTGAAAAAAAAAATCACACACAATTTCACATAGAAAAAGCCCTTCGTAAGGAGTGGGCTGTACTCGTGAGAACAATTTTTTTTTGTATTTCTTTAAGGCATGGGCGTCTAGAAATCCCTTCAATGAGTCGATTGGAATCTTTTCCAATCAATCCAATGGCTCCAAATACAACTGGAATTGTTGACGTTCTCATGTGTCACATTTTTGAGATTTCGATTTCAAGGGCCTTGTATTTTGATAGCTGTTGATTATTATTATTATTATTATTATTATTATTATTATTATTATTATTATTTCCTTTGATTTCTGTTATATACTCATTTCCTTTCGGGTCCCAAACAGAGACCTAAGATCAGAAAAGGCATCATGACTTTTTCAATGTACATTTTTGTAAAATAAATAAATAAATAAACATAAGATCACACGTATTTTACAAAGATGAAGCCATTCGTAAAATGGGAGCTTTACTTGTGAGAATAAGTTTTTTGTATTTCTTTAAGGCTTAAGCTACTAGGAATCCTTTCAATGTGTATATCAAAATATTTTCCAATAAAATAGAGGCCTCCAACCGGAAAACTGGAATTATTGATATCTTCATGTACGACAGTTTTTAGATTTCCACTTCAAGAGCCTTGCATTTTTAAAGTTTTTTGAAGACCTTCAAAGACGCATCACAGTGTGCAGGGATACTGGATCCTATGTCCGTAACCGGGTCTGAACGATGTTTACCAATTTCTTGCAGTGTCCTTCCCATAAGAGTTTGCAGATTTTCCAGTGCAGACATTGCACGACCCTATCATGCTTATATATATATATATATATATATATATATATATATATATATATATATCATGTGTTTTATATTCGGTGGATGCTAATAGCATGCAACCTGATGCAAAATGGTCAATTGTTTTGTGATATTCATCACAAAATCTACATTTCGGGTTGATACAATTTTTCAGTTTTATTATTATTATTATTATTAATAGTAGTAGTGATATTAAAGAAAATGACTGACGTAACTTTTCTAAACTTTTTCAAAATTCAGAGTAGAGCGCGATTTAAGAAAAGAAAATACTGTGTTTGACAATTTTCAACAATATTTCGACAGTACGTCTGTCTTCAGGTTAGGTTTGAAAATTGCATACAAGTATAAAATATAAAAAAGTCTACAAAATTATGTCTTTGTACAAACGTCGCTTGTCTTGAGAAGTAATCAATTGATTACCAGTACAGTCATTTTTTGCTTTTTCCCTTTCCTTTTCTTAAATCACGCCCTTCTCTATTTGTTGCATTATTTTTATTATTATTATTATTATTATAGAATTTATCAAAGAAAAAAGAATTTTCGTAACAAAGAGACCGGCGACGTTCATCGGCACCAGCCAATCTATGATACCTAAATATATCTAAACGCATTGCTATTATTAAACAAATACATCCAGCTTCAGACACAGCAAAGAAGCATCTAATATATTTTATTTTGTCTATTTTTCTGAGATGAGGTATTGTAATTATTTTTACTATTTACATTGTCGGGCTGCTCTCATCTTTATTGTCGTATTCCGACGTTTTCGAATTTGTACGCTCCGGTTTTCTTCAGGTGATGTACGCTGGAATTTCGAACGACAATGGTAGATTATTCTACTAGTCATGTGCCATGCCTTTTCTTTTAGATATCTCAGTTCCAGTTAATTCTTTTTAGTAACTCAGCTCTGTTGTGACCAGGTATTGAACTCACAACTCTTTGGATCAAGTCACTAGATTACTT